TCATGTAGTCGCGGGGCCGCCAGGGGGTGGCGTAGGGGGCGGCCGCGTTGCGGGAGTTCCAGGCGGATGCGTGCTCGGCCTCGAGGCGCAGCTTGTCGAAGGCGCGGCGCATCTTGCGCTCGTCGTCGGCGCTGAAGAGCGGCGTAGGCGCCTCGGTGGCGGAGGAAGTGTGTGTCGAGGGGGCCGGGGCGCTGCGCCCTGCGAGCTGGGTCTTGAGGAAGTCGAACTGCGCGTCGAGCGTGGAGAGGGATTCCGGGCTGGCGGAGCGCCACAGGGCGAGGGCGCTTTTGATGGTCTGGCGGAAGGCGCGGAATTTCTGCTTGTCCTTTGCGCCCACGTCCTCGGCCAGCACGCCGTCGACGGAGTCCATCATGGACTGCAGCTGGCGCTTGAGCTCGGCGGGGGAGGGCTCGTCGCCCCGGGCGGGGGCGAGGGGGGCCTCCGGGTGCTGGCGCGGGGTCTGACCGCCCGAGGCCTCGCGCTGCTCTGCACGCTGGGCGGCGCGCTCCTTGGCGACGCGGCGGGCGGTGGAGGAGCGCTCCTTGGGGGCGCCCGTGGCGAACATGACGCTGCTGGGCTCGACCTGGAACATGTCGCCCGGGTTGAGCAGGTAGCCCGGGTACGGCATCTTCTTGCCGTTGACCTTGACCAGCCCGTGGACGCAGAACTGGCGGGCCTGCCGCACGCTGCTGGCGAACAGCGCGCGGAAGACGGCCGTGTCCAGGCGCCGCTCCGTCGGGTAGTAGGTCATCTGCATGTAGGGCGTCATGGGCGGCGTGCGCGCCCTCTCCTGGGCATCTGCGCCCGCGCCGCGACCCGCTGCCTGCTCGCTGCCGTCGTGGCGGGCCAGGTACTTATGGTCCATGGAGACGACGGCGGGGATGGACCGCTTGAACTGCCGCGCCCACTTCTTCTCGCGGATCTGCTCGCCGTGGTACGCGCGCGTGTCGGCCTTGGCCGTCCATTTCTGCTGGAAGAAGGTGCGCCCGAGGTCGGGGCGTTTGAGCTGCGCGATGCTGTACAGCGTCCAGCGCGACATGTCCTGCCGCACTTTCTAGTAATCATCAGCAATCAATCATCATCTCTGCAACTGAGAGGCTTCAGGTACCAGCTTCTTCAGCGAGTGGAATCTCGGCTTCTTCCTCATGGCGGCGGCGGATGGCGTGGATGGGGGGAGATTGGGCGGCGGCGATGGGGTGCGGACGTCGTCAAAATAACGAATAACGAATCTAACGGCCGCCGTCGTCGACGGTTCAGCGCCGGTTCTGCCGGGCGGTGGGCGCGCGCCTCGAGGAAAATCAGCAGCTCGCGCGGCGCTGCACCACCCACGCACACCACAATTGCTCCCTCAGTAACACAGCAACAGCAATGGCCGACACAACAGCTGCAGCCCCCGCGGCCGCCCCCGTCGAGGAGCCCAAGAGTGAGACATGCCCACCCCACCAACTGTTACTTCCAAGAAGACGTTACTGACTCACTGCAGCGGTCGCGCCCACCACCGACGGCGAGGAGATCCTGAACCTCAACGGCAGCGACAAGAAGAGCGAGCGCCGCGACGACCGTGACCGCCGCGACAACCGCAACGGAGGCCGCGGCGGGCGTGGTGGCCGTGGAGGACGCGGACGAGGAGGACCCCGCGGCGGCGGCTTCAAGAACCGCGCGGCGCGCACCAACGAGTTCGAGGACCTGCCCGAGAGCGACGACCCCGTGGAGATCCGCAGCCAGGTCGAGTTCTACTTCAGCACCCACAACCTCGTCACCGACGAGCACCTGTTCAAGGAGCTCGACGGCCCCAACAACCGCCCCGTCAGCATCAAGCACATTGCCGACTTCAAGCGCATGCGCCGCTTCCAGCCCTACAGCGCCATCGTCGCCGCCCTGCGCGAGAGCAAGGACCTGGTCGTCGTCGACGACGGCGAGTTCAGCGGCCAGGGCAACGAGGCCGTCAAGCGCAAGGAGCCCATCGCCGTGCCCGCCCGCGACGACGACGAGAAGAACCCGCCCTCGACTGCCGACCTCTTCTTCCGCCTGCAGCGCGCCTCTTCCAACGACCTCGGCCGCAGCGCCTACGTTAAGGGCTTTGGCGGCGACGCCGAGGCTGGCCAGATCGCGCTGGAGCAGTTCTTCCGCCCCTTCGGCGCCGTCATGGTGCGCAAGAGGCGCGAGCAGGACGGCACCTTCAAGGGCAGCGTCTTCGTCGAGTTCGACTCGGAGGACAGCCAGAAGCAGTTCCTCGCCCTCGACCCCAAGCCGCAGTTCAACGGCGCCGAGCTGACCACCATGGGCAAGAAGGAGTACTCCGAGATGAAGTGCAAAGAGAAGGGCATCAAGCCCGAGTGGGAGCGCGACGCCGACAGGCGCGAGCACCGCGACGGCCGCGCGGGCGGAGGAGGTCGCGGCGGGCGCGGTGGACGCGGTGGACGCGGTGGCCCCCGTGGAGGAGGCCGTGGAGGCCGCGACGACCGCAACCGCCGCGACACGCGCTCCAGCAAGCGCGGCGACGGCTCCGGCTCCCCCGCCCCCGCCGACGGCGACGACTGGAACAACCGCCGCGACCGCTTCCAGAGCGGCAAGGACGACGCCCCCGCCGAGCCCAAGGCCATTCAGCGCGACGCCCACGGCGTCCCCGTCGTGCAGGACACCAGCAACAAGCGCAAGGCGGACGAGCCCGCAGGCGGCGACGACAAGAAGACTAAGCTCGAGATCAAGGAGGATGCGTAGACACCCACCCACGCGCTGCGGTAGGAGGGGGATCAGTCAATGTGGGAGTCATATACCTATCTACAGAACATGGACATGACCCACGACATACATGTCTTGCATATACGGCGTTTTTTTTATCTCTTTGTCATGGTTGAACAAAAATGGTTTACGATACCATCGGCACCACTGGGGCTGGGAAAGGAAAGCAAAGGGGGGAAAAAGTATAGCTGACTTACTTCTGTATAAGGGCTGCTTACTACGCAACTTTAGTACTTCAGGTAGAGGCTGTAGGCCAATTGATTTGCGTGCGTCGCCAATGCTGACTTGGCCCCCACGAACTGTCAGTGCTGTGGCTATCCCGGCACACCCTGGGGAACTGAACTGGACCCTGTTTCTCGCCAAGCAGCTGCCGCATGTCACCTCCAATGCATCTGCCATCCAGGCACCTCCCTTCATGCGCCGCGACACCGCTTCATGTCCTAACCGGCCGTGATAAGAACGATCCCTCGGATGGAAAAAAAAAAAAAAGAACAACCCCTCATCGCCTACAGGACCCACAAACACTCAGCCCCTCCTAAGCGAGGAGACAACGTTGGTACCATCTCGCGACAACTATCGACCTGCTTACGGTCTCACAAACCTTCAGGCTTCAGCTCGGAAACGCTCGAATCGCAGCGAGGTGCAGCCGACTTGGCTCGCCATGCTATGTTCAATGCTACGATATGATATGACAGTGTCATCCACCCCTGCTCATTAAACAACCCTGCCGGCCCCCAAACCCGCACCCTTGGCGAAGGATTCAGTTCTTCCGCCGGGTCCCCCATTTGGTGAACCCAGCCATGCCAATCCAGCTCCGCACGTTACTAGCACGGTCCTGGAAGAGATACCGCGGACCGAATGAACGGCGCGCTGGGATGGCATGATATCTAAAGCGCTGGGTACCCGTCCCGCAGCGGGGATTTAATTCCCTCCTGCTCCAGCTTTTCCTCCTGCTCGAGCCCAGTCGTAAACCCACGCCTCACCTCGAGTCGAGGAGCTGCCCCTGCGCACGCCACAGGCAAGACCCACGCCGTCTTGTCTTGTCGTGTCTTCTGCCCTCTCGCGCCCCACCGGTTCACCACCCAGCTGTTCACCATGCCTCGCCTCCCCACGTTTTTGCGACTCGCGCTCCTCGCCGCGCTCACGACTACCATCTCAGCGACGAGCCACGTCGCGCTCTTCACCGACGCGCGCTGCCAGGACACGTACAAGGCGCTCGACGGCCCCAATGGCTATCCCAACGGAACATGCACCGACATGCGGCGCAGCGGGGAGTACGGGAGTCTGCAGGTAGTGGGGCTGGATCCGGGGTGTGCTGGTACGGCATCTCTCTCCTCTTCAGCTCTCACACTTCCCCGCGAGACTGTTGCTAGCGTTTAGGAGGCAGTGTGCTGACATGATTCGCAGTGACCATCTACATGGACGACCCCGAGACGACTGTATGCGGCGGGTTGCAGAAGGAGATCCAGATGGGCGAGTGCTGGAACAGCACGTGGGCGTACTACAGCATCGACATGTGCGACATTGGCGCGCTGAACGCACCCTCATCCACCCCCTCTTCAACACCTCCCCCATCTTCCTCCTCCTCCCCCTCCCCCTCCACCCTCGCGGCCGCCATAGTCGGCGCCCTGGCCGGCCTGGCCCTCGTCCTCGGCCTGGCCCTCTGGCTCCTCCGCCGCAAGTCGCGTGCGAAGAAACGCTTGCAAGAAATGCACCAGCACGGCGCGCACAGCAGCGGCGTCGAAGTCGAAGCGAACCCGTTCCGCGGCGAGATGGACGCCAGCTTGCAGCGGCACGAGGTGCACGCGCAGGAGAAGACGGTGTACGCGCATCGGGCGGTGGAGGTGGGCACGCCGGCTGCGGAGTTGGGGGGGTTGGAGGTGGGGAGGGGGGAGCGGGCGGGGGAGGGGGAGGGGGGAGGTGAAGGAAGGGTGCTAGTCAGATAGTCATCTTGTTAAAGGGAAGGAAAAGTGTCGTTTCTCGCGTACCACTTTACCCCGTCGCATTCACGGCGGGCAAACTGCACACCGCACCGTCCTGCCTCGTTTCGCCTCGTGTCGTCCTGAACCCAAAGCCACGCGCAGTCCCACCCCTCCTTTCCCTTTCCTTTCCCACGTCGTCTCGTGGCTTCGCCTCGCGCGCTCCCCCTCGCGTTGCGGGCCCTCGTGGCGCGCCTTCCTCACCAAACCCTCCCCACGCCCACGAATCAGCCCTCCACAACTCCAAAACATCTCCCCAAGCATAAAAAAAGCACAAAATGACACGAGTGGGGTTCGAACCCACGCACATTTCTGTAGTAGAGATTTGAGAACCCGCATCCAAAGAAGGAAGGGGAGGCTTAAATCTACCGCCTTAGACCACTCGGCCATCGTGTCTCTCGGTTTGGTTGGAGGAGAATAGAGGGTTGTGCGGGGTAAAAAGTCTATACAGTGAGTTGCAAAGTGGTCAAGGGAGACGGGAGGACTAAGGGGGTTTGGATTGAGGGTGGGGCGGAATGGAGACGTGGGAGAGTGTGGATGAGATGGCTGAGTACGGGGTAGAGTCTGCGGGTCGCGGGTAGTAAGGGATGGGGACGGGGATGGGGATGTGGGTGTGTGGCGCAACGCGGCGCGGGCGGACTTGCGGGGGGGTTAAGCGTGTGTACTGTGTAGACTACTGTCATAGCAGGCTAGGCTGGGCTCTGCCCCTCCACCATACCGCACCACACCGCACCACACCACACTCTACGCAGTAGCTTCGGTACTCTTACGGCCCCTCCACCGCACCACACCACACCTTACGCGGGTATCTTAGGTATGCTCACAGCCCCATCCCTACCGCGGTGAAAAGAACGCAGTACAGTCGGCCCAGCAGCCTTCGTGAGCCTCCCTCGTCTCAGCTGTCCTTCGGGGGGAATGGTGGCGGTGGTGTTTCTTTCGTTGCGTTGCGCTGACGGACGCGATGAGCCGCGCGGGCTGTGCCACGGCGCCAGGGCGGCGCAGGGGAAGGGTGCACGGCGTCGTTGCTGTGGAAGAGAGCTCAGGCGAGCTGGTAAAACAGCGGCATAGCAACTATCGTGATTGAGACCTTGAGACAGCGTCTTTGGTCAGCTTGTCCGCACGTTGTAAGAAATCTGACACCCCGGAGGCTATACTGCCTATTCCTCCCGTTCCCCACGGTCTCATCTCAAATAAGTAAGGCGATCAGCTCTGGAATATCATAAAAGACATCACTCAGGCATGCTTCCGGCCTCCATACAAAATCAGCTTCAACATCGCTGTCGACCGCTGCACTGCCCACTCGCCCGCGCCGCCCGCGCCACCACATCGCAACAACCCCTACTCCTACTCCTGATCCCAGTTATACACCTCAACTCCCCCTTCCCCTCCGCTCACCTCACCCTCAACCATGGTTCCAGAATTCCTCTGCTACCGCCCCGCCCATGCCACGCTCCAAGCCGGCCGCATCACGGAAGCAGAGTACTACCACCACGTCTTCCAGCACCTGATCTGGGAGCATGGTTGCGAGGGGAAAGCCCCTTTGCTCAGCGATTTGGTCGGGACCGAGATTAAGAGCATAATTGCGCAGTCGTGGCACACTGTTACCGGTATGCGTACCTCATTCTGATAACAGAGTACCAGCTTAGTCCATAGACACCACGCCTTTCGAGCAAGTCTTCCCTGCATCCCGCCTCGGGCAAGAGCAATTCAAGGTCGCTCTTGCGAGCGTGCCCGAAGACTTTCATGAGCCGTGGTATCATTCCGTGGCGTTCATTGCGCTAAAGGAGCGGGATGTAGACAAACTGAAGTGGGCGCTCAAAGGGTGTCGGGAGCAATTCTCCGAGCGCTTCGAGTGGGAGGCATATGTTGCAAAGGAGAATAGAGAGAGTGATGAGGTCGCTGCAAGGCGCTGGGATGTACTGCAGCAGTCGGGGTTCGAGGAGCCGCCACATTGGAAAGTGAGGAATCCAAGGAGGGTATTGGGGGATCCTGTGTATTAGATCTGGGTGGAAGAGGGGGAATCGAGGTGACCTAGAAGCTTTGAACATAGTTGTGATATACAGTTGGATGTGTTATATAAGCGGGTCTGACTAGCAGTAAATCTTGAGGGTAGGTGGTAGTGCATGCCAGATCTATTATCAGAGGTGAGTGAAGTACAATATATAGGACTGAAATCTCATGAGGCCACAAAGATAATCGATGCCGCATGAGGAGCACAGAAGTTGGCAAGACATAAAGTTCAGACAGACCCGACATTAGACTGAGCAAAGTTCTGATACTTGATCTCCTAACGATATCGGTGATGGACAGAAGTTAAGAAAAATTTCTTCATGTCAATTTATCCATCATTTTGTGTTGAATACAATATCCGGCAGTCAAAAATTCAATGTTTGTATAAAACTTCGCGCCTTAACGTGCTGAAACAGATTGCAAAGGTCTGTAGGCGTATTCTCTCGATGCTGGTGTATCATTTTCTTGTCAAGAAAGGCTAGGAAGGTTAGCATGAAGCTTATGGATGCTGAGGTCAAGTAATATGGTGATTTTGTGCGGTGAGATACTGTCAATGCTTTTCTTAGACCTAGTTGGACGTATGCAGTGTTGACATTGAAATGTTCGGTTAAGGGTGTCCACAATTCATACCAGTGAATACTATGCGACAGTGCATTTCTCCCGGCGTCTACTTCAAAACGGCGGGGCAGACAGCGCAACTAGACTGATGAGACTGGCCCCTACCGTCATCCACCAACTTGATATTGTGAAACCTCCTTGAATATCGTTCTTGACCACCGTCCATATAATTCCAAACAAGCCACTAGAGAGAGCGAACCCGAACAGAACAATCCCAATACGGACCCAATCCCAGTCTTCTTTGTAGTATATGCCCCATGCCACCGCTGCTGGCTGGGATGAAGTCCGAAACTCCCCGCCAATTCTTTTAGGAAGTTGGTCTAGGACTGCCTTTCCCTTTGGAGTCAATTTACTTGGATCAGTGAAATAGCTCATCAACAAATTTGGTCCGAACGGCGGGGATCTGCCAGGTGGCGACGGATGGCAACGGTACTCCTTTCCCTGTGGTATTACACGTTTTTCTGGGGGTATGCATTCACAAGGCCGTCCTCGTTCGCACAGCTCGTCATGGCATCTCATGTCGACGTAGCTGCCAGCCCCGTAAGTAAACTCGATGGCGTTATGTGAGAACAATGATGCCGCCGTCTTATTAGGCTCGGTACGAAAATTCACCTTCATGAAGTGAATACTCTGGAGAGTTCGAAAAGACCAGAGTGGTCTCAAGACGCTTCTGTGTTGGCGATATTGTTGCCGCAACCCGTTGAAAAGCTGTCGGTCGTTCTGGACGTTTGTTATGACTTCTTGGTGAAGCTGCCATTCGTTACTCCCTTTGTCTGTGCAGGAGAACAGATGAAGGGTCTGCATAGGATCAAGACTGATATCGGTATTTACTTGATCATGGCTATCCATGGAACTGAAAAGATCACCTTGGAGTGGTTGATCAGCGATATCTCCAGAACTTGAAGTGTCTATCTGTGTTGAGCTCTCTCCAAGGGTGCGAGAAGTGTAATTATCAGGCGATGTACGACAGTGGCTTTCGACTGGGATTAACTTTGTGCGGTACGCAGAAGTATTGAGATATTTCTGTAATACTTGCAGTGCTCCAGGCTTATGTTCCACGTAGTCATCGTAGAGTAGCTTGTTCCGATGCTGTAAGGAGTTATTTATCGTCACGAATCCTAAATGACGTGAACAAGAGTCCTAGATATGTACTTACATCCCTCCAGTAAATGCGTTGATGGCCTGGTAAGATGGGTGTCTCAATCCACGGCAGTATGGAAAGGCCCCTCCTCACACCACGGTATATTCGCTGCATCGATTGCGGAGATACCCTGGATGAAAATCGAGTCGGAACGTCTGTGTGGTTGGGACTAGAAGTGTGTAGATCTTGAGACGAATCTGGTGTTACCAAGTCTTCAATCTGAGAGTGCGGCGATGAAGGGGTTGATGTTACACTCTCCTTTTTGTGCACTTCGTGCACTTCATCCACCTCGCCGTGCACCTCTTCGTGCATCTTGTCGTCCACATTGTCGTCTACCTCGTCCACGTCTTTCACGTCAATTGCCCAGATCTGCCTTGGTTGAGGGTATCGCGAACGGCATATATGACGACCGCTGGATTCGGAGTAAATTCGGTACCAGTAGCAGGATAGTACATCTCCAATGTCGCAAAGATTCAGCGTCTGTGGAATCCAGTCTGTGTCATCGTCACAAGCTTGCTGTACATGGTGTATCCAATGGCTTGCTGAATACTCCAAAAACGTACGAGTCCCTCCTAGGTTTTCGTATGCTGGCGGAGAGTAATCCTGAACCTCTGGTAAGAGTAGGTACGTGATGCATATCCTCGAAAAGATCTGATGCGCGCTGCGAATGTCGATTGACTTTGTCCACCTTGTCTGTTCAGAGGATCCTTCGATCTCTTGGGAAAGGAACTCTTTGGCTGTTTGGCTGAGGTGAATGCGCGAATCAACAATGTCGATGTATATCCCGCACGCCGCTTCAACTGCAATCCTTGTCTTGACCACGTCGCCGTCCAAGTTCTTCAGAATCAGAGGCGATGACGCTGTATCGGTTGGTGTTGTCAGAGTTTTGTCTATCTCGAGAACCACATTCATCTCCATTAAGGTCAGTGGTCGCTGTGCTGCAAGAATGATGTGCAGGATCTTTCTCTTAACCCCTTCTACACTGCATCTATCTAGGACTTTATTGTAGGCAGCCTCGAGCGTTCGAGGAATATCATCCAGCGCTCTCTCAAATCCCCTCATATCTTGTTCCAGAGAACTTCTAATCTCAGCGAGAGCTAGAGACAGCCACAGGTAGGTTTTGTCTGGGGTTCGTTGTAGTGAATCATGTAAGAGTGAGTGTGTGTCCTCATCCAGTCTGAAGTTCTTGGCGATGATTCGAAGCTCAAGTCCCATGACTATATCGATCCCGCCACTGATTTCCCCTGGCTTATCCTTCCCTGCTAGGCGAATGACTGGAATGCTTTTTTCGAATGGGGACAATGCCGGCTTATCCTCGGTGGAAGGACGGCTTGTCATAAGGAACTTCAATGTGCGTTTTCGCTGTCCGAAGTCTTGTCTAGTTGCATGAAAGCTTTCTAAGTGTTTAATGAGGCTCTCCCGATCAACCGGCTTGCATTTATCTAAGCCATCTAGGATGCAAACGACCTTTTTGATGCGTGCCGCAACTTCGGTGAAGAGATCCCACATCGCGCTGAAGTTGTGTCTCAAGCCTGTTCCGTTGATTTCAATTTTGGCGCCTACTTCCTGAGAGAAAGGAGTCTTGGGATGCTGAATGATAAGCTGGTGAGATAGTGCACACAGTGCT